AATTGCCCCTGCTAATGCTTTTGTAGACAAGGTAAGCATTTAAAAATTTAGGATAATTTTTCAATCGTTCAATAGTTTCTAATTCTTTAACTTCGGCCAATTTAGCGAATAAAAAAGATAATATTTGCTTTTGATGATTATTATCCTCGGTCGCTTTACCTATTAATTGCTGTATTTTTGCTCTTAGTTCGGTTATTCTATTTTCTGTTTTCATTACCTATACTTAATTTTTCAATTTTTCTTTTTTCAGCATCATAATAATACTCATCCTCCCTCAACCAAACATTTCTTCTTCCAACTTCCCGCGTCATTTTTTCAGCAAAAGCACCATCATTATAGCGAACAATACCGATATCTTTGCGAGCCAATTCATCCTTGCTTTGTTTACATTGCCAAAAAGAACGAGTTATTCTTATAATTTTACCCTCATCATTTTTTATAGCACTCCAATCAAAATTATGTTCCATTAGGAAATCCGGAAAGTTAAGTCGAGTATTTGGCGGACAAAAAGGGCAAGCATAAAGAATTTCTAACTCTTTTCTTTTAGGCTTATATTCTGAATTTAAATTAGGCTTGCCAATCATTTTACAACTCAATTTCTTTACTACTCTTACCGCAATGCCGACAAGGCGGTTCTTTCAGTTTAAACATTATCACTTTTAACGCTTGTCTTTTTTTACAATTTTCACATTTCACTTCCAGGGAAAAAGTTAATAACCCCCAAATCATTAATGTTATAGCCAAAACTACTCCTAATAATATTCCTGCCAAAAGAATTAACAAATAATAAGATCACATTTACTCTATAAGAATTTTTTGAATCTCTTTAACTACTGTTATTAATTTATGATATTCCTGACCCAGACGATCAGTAGAGTGTTCGGCAGCGTTTTTTTCTAACTTAGGTATAAGTTCAGTCAGGCAACTATTACAGAGTTTTTCCGGTTGATGGTTTTTATCCTTAACAAAAGACACTAAAACAATTTCGTTTTTTTTCTCACACTCGTAACATTTACCTTTTTCCTTTTTTAAATACCGCAAATCACAAAACTCACTCTTTTTCTGATGAGAAAAGTCAATTCACTGCGTAGTAGCCTCTATCTCCCGGTTCCTCTTAGGCAAATCTTTATCAGGTGGCAAATAGAGAAATTTTATTCCGTCTACTACTTTTCAATAGCAATAAATTTCTATTTCTTTTCCGGTATTAGTTCCTCGTCAGGTTTCTTTAATTAGTAAAGGGTATTCTTTTGATACTTCCACTTTGACAAATTCTGCCGTTATTTTAACAGCGTAATCAGGATCAGTTTGAAATTTTTGTTTTACTTCCTCTTGCCTATCGTTAACTTTAATTTGGCAAGTATCGCAAATATTAGGGCAAGTTTTACAATCTTGACAACTACCGAATACTTTCTTTTCCGTAAATTCTTGTTTGCAATTTAGACATTTTTTCATTTTATATAATACCTGGTTTAAAATCCGTTAAAATATTAGTTCCGTTATTTCCTTCTTCCACAATAAAAATATAATCTAATTTCTCTTTCAAATTTCCTCACTTTTCGGGGGGAACTTTCTTAGGGAAAACAAAAATGCTGGCTATGCCAACTAAGTGCAAAATTAAATATTTGTCGCCTTTCTTATCTATTTTATTTCTTAT